GCGAGTCGGATGAATCGCCATCCGAGTTGTAAGACTTCTGCGCTGGCGGTTTGGGAGCAGTCTTGTCTGCAGCTTTTTCGTCGGCGACATCCTCCTTGACTTCATCCTTGGACTCTTCCTTGGACTCCAGCTTGCCTTCGTCCTTGGATTCCTCCTTGGACTCGTTTGTGCCATCTGACTTGGAGTCACCTGCAGCAACGTCCTTGGACTCTTCCTTAGGGACTTCCGTCTGGACGGCTTGGTCCTTGGGCTTCTCTGCATCTTTCTTCTTTGCCTCTGCATCTTCCAAAAATTTTGCTTCTTCGGCCTTCTTGGCTTCCGCAGCGGCTTTTTGAGCTGCCTCGAGGTCAGCCTTCGCCTTGGCTGCTTCCGCCTTCTTGGCGAGCTTGCGGTCGCGCTTCTCGTTGTTCTTCTTGGTCTGCTGCTTGGTGACTTCGCGGTTGGTGTGACGTCTCTCCCAGAGCTTGCGGCGCTCCTTTTGGCGAGACTCGGAGGCTCTCTGCTGCTCCTTGATCTTACGCAGCCTAGCGACCTCTTGGAGGTGCGCGGTGCCTTTGCTATGAGCCAAGTCGTACGCGGCACCAACTTGCGCCAGCTTGTCGTTCTCAACGCGCTTCTTGCACTCACGCTTGACCACATCTTCGACAGAGGGGATGTCAGTGTCCCTCTCACCAGTGACACTCATGAAGATGCTGTACTCTCCGGCTGTCATGTCGGGTAACTCGATAGAGACGGATCGGTCCATGAGATAGTTGCCGTGGGAGCGTACGATATAGTCCTCGGTACCAGGGCGGTCTCGCTCATGTATCCGGAAGTGGATGCGGAAAGCGTACTGCCCCTGAAGTCCCTTGAAGTACCTCGTGTCAAGTTGAGTCATGACTAGGACTAGCGGCCCATCCTTGGACAACTTGACCTGGAATTTCTCGTTGAACTGGGATTTCCAGGGCACCTCGACACCGATCCAACGTTGAGCGCACCTCCAAGCGGGGTCACAGAACAGCTTGGTTCTGTCGATATGTTGGAATTTGCGTAGGAAGTCGTCGTAGTTGATCCAGAAGACAGAGTCATTGCCAGGATGATGACCGAGCTCCTCCTGGACTTCCATGGTCCACTCTTTGGAGCCATCGGACCAAGCACCCTCCCACACGCCCTTACGAATTTTGCCCCAAGGGTTGCGAAGCTTGATCAGGCGCTCTCCACATTTGAGCGTCCTAGCTTCCATGACAACGTATGCGTGGCCTTCCGAGATGCCATTCCTCTCGCCATAGCCTCTATCTAGGAGACCGGTAGAGCAGCCGAAAAGAAACTCCTCGTTGACTCTGGCGAGTTCGTTTTCCCAGAAACCCTCAAGATCGAGGATATCTGAGGTAAGTAGCTCAGTGGTGACACCGCCTGAGAGATCTTCCAATCCCTCGCCAATCCAACCGCCAGCGAGCGAGGCGAAGTCACCATGAGCCTTGGCGTAAGCCTTCTCAATCAAAGGTACCCAAGTCTCATTCTGGTCTTTGCACTGAGCGAAGAAGAGAGCCTTGGATCCGGTCTGATAGGTCTTGCGGTAGACGTGCTCCACGTTCTCGCGGTCGATCTGCTGGAGGAGATCGCGCTGCATACTAGGCGAGTCCCAGCAAGGAGACTTCAGGTACAGCTTATCGTCGATGATGGAGTAAATCCACTCGCCATCGCGGTAGAAGACGAAGCCGTAGATGCCGATGCGAGTGTCGTACTCGACGCAGATGCGCTGAATACCACCCTCGACGTTGGCGAGGGCAGTCAGCGCAGCCATCAGCCAACAGTCTCCGAGGCTTCCCTGCGTTACATCTCCGCCGTTGACGTTCTCTAGAAAGGTTGGCTTCTCGAAGATTTCGTGAACACGCTTTACTGCCTTGGGTACAAAGGCGTTTGGATTCAAGAGAGTTGTTTTAGAAAGTTGCCATTCGGTATGGCCGAGAGTGTTGAGACAGTGTCCCTTTTTCCGCTTCAAATCCCAGTCCTGAATGGCCGATTAGCTCCCAAAATACGGATCAGCGGGAATTTGAGATGGAGGTGACTTACCAAATCCCAGCCGGGATCCCGATATCGCATGTTGACTCTACGGCATTCTTGGATTATCTTTTTCACTTTACGGCGGCATTCCTCGACAGCTCGCTCATACCCAGCGCTAAGTAACTCGTTGGGCTTATCCGAGCTTGCTGGTGGTAGAACAGGGTCGAATGGCAGCACAGCCAAGGCCTTGTTGAACTTCTTGTTGTGAAACTTCTTCCAAATGTGATTGATGGAAGGCTGAGGAGGCGTCTTCTTCTTTTTCGTCTTCGTCTTGTTCATGGCGTTGGCCGATGCTGGCACAGGATGCGGACGAAGAGGGTCGTCCGACTCCTCTGAAGAGCTATAGCCGTGCATAGCGTGATGGGATAGGATAAGCAAGGGGACTGAGTGATATGAGAAGGTTTAGAGCGGCTTTAGATGACGAGGGAGATGCAAGTGCGTGTGCAATGAGAGCGAGAAAGCGTCGCGGCGCAAATGACTGGTCTAAGTGAAACGAATGAAATTAGAGCAACTTGAAGGATAAGACGCGAGACTGTGCAAAACTGACTGGGTGGACAAGTGGACGTTTAAGAATGAAGACAAAAGGGGTAGAGGGATCAAAAAAAGTTGACTCAATAAGCTACAACGCCCGTGAAGTTTGGACTTACAGCAGTGCGTGACAGCCTGTTCGGGTAGATTCGACGGCTGAATGGGAAGGATGATGGATCGCACTGGTGCATGCCCGCACAACGAGGCAGCCGCAGGCGTTAGACGGGTACTCTGGGTCGACATCCGAGAGGTGAGAGACTTCAAGGGCCCCGGTAAAGGCTCTGCGAGAGGGATGCTGGCCATGAGGTAAAGATACGACGGACCGTTACCTTGCATTCTAGACTATCTCGGCCCAGCTGCCATAATTGACTTAATTTCGTAAGGCAACCAGGCAACCTAATTACACACTGCCAACACACGTTAGGCAGCAGGCCAGCTAATCCCGTCGCGCGAGATGCCCAGAATTCTCTGTGTGCAAGGATCCGCATAAGCTCGGTATCGACGTGGTCGTGATAGCGTCCGTATCACAGTATACACATGTGATTATGGATATTGCCTCGCATTATCACCTCGCGAAATCCACTCGCAGGCACGTAATTCTGGAAAAGGTCACTCAGCAGAATTTGAGGCTGGCTCAGACGTGCGGATCCTGGCTTCCGACGCGGCAAACGCAAAGTAGCTAGATGCCAGGTTGAAAGATCGTTATCATGGGCTGAGGCGATGCCAGTTTCTGTTTTCGTTCATGGGTGGGAGCTCGTGCGATAGCTAATCACTTGGAAAGGTCCACGCTTCTCTTCTTATAAATCATTTCCCGTGCTGACATGGAACAATCCAATACATTCATCACGACGCTCGAGGGTGATACTAGCACGTTTCCAGTGTTCTTTTGATAAGCCACCGGTTTTCACTCAGAGTCCCGATTGAAGTTATTTCTGACAAGACATGCTGGATAAATGGCTACATACTGCTTGTGGTGCCGGGAGTGCGAAGACGGTCGACTCCGATCGAAAGGTTCAGGTCGAGATTGGACGGCCATTGACGAACTTTTCGAGTCAGTCAAATCAGCCCACTTCGAACAAAAACCTGGCAACGTGACGAGATTTCGAGCTTCGGGAGATCAAGAACCCAAGGGGGAGTCGATTAAATCACAGCCGTGCGAGATCTCTGACATCTCTATGAATGAAAAGCAGGAATGCACTAAAGTAAGCGACTTGAAAAGCTGCATAGAGTCGTCTGAGTATACATATTATTATCCTGGGCGAGGTACTCGTCACGGGTATCTTTTCCATGAGCCCCAGTGTCTGGAAGACGTCTTTTTGCATGGCCTTGGTCGCTCTTTGCCAAATCCTTATCAATGTTGTAGGTGTTGGTGCGGTTAACGTTCATCATTTTTTAGCCAGTTGCGTGGTGTCAGGCTGCTTGCGATTTCTGGCAACCAGACCACCGTTTTGCTTCACGATTCCTGGCAAGAAGACAAGTACAGCCTGGGAAATCCTGATCTCAACTTCTCAAGATCATGTTACATGACTTGATGCAAGAATATCCTCATCTTATTATGTACACCTTTTATAGACTTCCATCAGGCTGAGACCCAATCTATTACTAGAGACGAAGCTGTAGCATCTTTTCGCAGCTGGCCAATGTCTGGTTCAGCTATTTAATGCAACGATGTGTAAAGAAAATCTGAGCCAGTTTCAAGAAGGTCCATTGATAATCCTGTAAATTTCAACAGCCCGTCATTCCTCCAGATATTCTGTGTTACTATCCGGTTCTAGGTCTCCACATGCCAGACTGCCCTAGTGGGAACGTTCTCCAGCGCTCATATCTCGTACGCTACATCGTCCCCAAGGGAACACATAGCAGGCTCGGAGACGTGGCTTCAACGGTTCGAAACCAACGAGGTGCTTCCGGACCAGCCAAAGTGAGCTCCGATGCGAAGGCTTGCGAAGGTCGTTGATCGACACCATCGCCGGAGACCCCGGCGGGATTGGCTAACCCCCCCTGATTTGCTGGCGCATCAGGATGAGGTGAAACCTCATCTCCTTTGTTGTTCCGCAATGGTGCCCCCAGCCAGCCGAGACTCCCAGCCAGTTTGATGGAAGGATCAAAAGAGATGAACACCAGAGAGCGCAAGTTTTTGGTTTTAGCGTTTCCAGAGATGTAAATTAGAGATCGGTCATCAGCTACTCCGGAAATTTCCCACTGAGAGTCTTGACCATGTGGGATGAGGGTGTCGGCCAGTTTTCCTGACTCTCCATGTGCTTTAGTCTGAAGTGTCCAGTAAGATATCACGTTCTCGATGTGGTTTGTTTCTCGAGAATCTGGTTGCTGGTGCGTTGCCGCCTGCAGACGAGTCATGGTCCGCAGCTGAAGGTTGGCAGGCTTCTCATCTACGGCCGCAGGGTTGATTAAGTCCATGAATGCTCCGCAGGGGCTGTTGTAGGACCTCACAAAGCAGTTCTTAAAGGTAATGAGCGGTTCTGTGAAGCTATCGTCTCCTCGGTGAAAGGTCGATTGACTTCCGTGAGAGCGCGGTGTCCGATCTTGAGAGCCAGATACGTGGACGGACTCTTGCTCAATGCCTTCTCTTGTAGACACCGAATCATCAGCAGGCTCGGTATCATCGAACTTGACCGCCGTTCGATAGACAGTCCTCGAGCTCGAGGCAGTCCTCGATTTCCCGTTGCTGTTGTAAGGATGTTCTTTTCGACACTCCACGACCTCGAGAACTCCTGTTTTGGAGTCTTTCTCGAGGCCGAGAGTCGTCCATCTGTTATCCATCGGGCCATCTCGGTGGTCACGACGAAACATGGATTTAGACATCAGCTGCTTGTCCTCGGGACCGCATATACCAAGAGGATAGCGCACGCCGTAGTAACGAGACAAGTGATCAGTCTCGTCAGTATCATCTTTTGGTGTGGTTGACACAGCATAGAAGTGATCGTCCACGATTTCGAAAGCCAGCGAGATCCCAACGTCGAAGCCGGCGATATCATCAAGGCTGAGAAATCCGGGTAGCCAGGATCCCTCGCTCAGACTCAAAACTTTAAGCGTCCACACTTCGTCGTTGTTGTCATAAGTTCCGCAGTACAAATACTCGTGATTGTTTCTGACAAACGTCTTCTTGCAGGAACTAGCGTCTTTACAGGGGAACGTTTTCTGCTTCTCAATATCGATGACGAGGAGTTGCTCGATTCCTGGTTTCTTACGCGGGATACAAAGGCAGGACAGAATGTCGTCGGAGAAGTATATAGGTCGGAGCTTATACTTCTGTGCCGGATTAGTGTGGGATATGGAAGCAAGTAGCTTGTCCACGCTGATTTCGATCTTCTTCCGCGCCGACTGGTGAATATTGAGGAGGTAAAGTTTTTGGGCCTCTATCTGCGTGTAGCAAAGCATGCCGTTGCAGTAGATGTATTCATTGGCATGCGCAACGACGGCTGTTAAGTATGGCTCGGCCATGATGACGGCATTGAGGGTCTTCTCTCGTCGGCGAAATGCACGAGCGTAATTTCCATATGGACGCGCATCTCTCATCTCGGTGGAATATGGGGCGTGGTCCTTGATTTAGGTTAGATTCTGTCAGGTGGAGATACTTGGGAAGCACATCTTCAAACCTCAAGTAGGGCTTTTGCACACGACTCATCGTGTATGAGAAAACCGAATTTCTTACAAACAAGACTGAAATTCCACAGATCCTTAGGACTGAGGAGATTGGCAACAAGGAGAAGGATCTCGTGCGAAAATCTCTGCATTGTGATTGACGGACAGAGGATCAGGTCTGTGAAAGAACGATAACTTGAGTCGAATGCTTCGCGCTCTGGCGGTTTTGTAGCTGTGCAAGACCATGGCCCGCGGAGCCTCATCCACCCAGATTCCTGACAGGTCGGCTCAGATGTCCTGCTGTGTAGGGTAGCACTCTCTCGTTCTAGTGAGATAATTGGATCACGCGGTCATGGGGAAGGCTCTCACAAGTGTTAGCGGCATTTCAAGGACTTACATTATTTCCCTCACGCCTTGGGGTTATCTCCCTAAATGCAAAGGTCTGCCGTGATCTCGACCTATTCGCGCCAGCAAGACATATTGAGATACATGCTGCCATAACTCAGAGGGGCAAAAGCCATGCGTGTACTCATGCGCAGACGAAACAAACCTTACCCTCGGTGAATGAATAGCGAGTCCGACACTATCGGCCTTCAAACGAAGCTATCAATTATTAAACGTCCAGCCATCTCAAGGCACGCTCGCCATCAGGTCCCAAGTTCTTTCGCAGTCTGATTCAGATCTTTGGCTACTCTGAGTGACGCGGCGAGATTACTAAGTCCGGCTGTAGCACCAGCTGAATTCGGTGCTCTGCACCCTCCCGGACCACTCAAATGGACCTCTTGCCAGACCTTGCTTCAGCGGTCTGCTTTTGGGGTGTTTAGCCGGGGAGGGCCGTCGACGTGATTCGTGGAGTGCTCGCCCGACCGACAAATAGGTCAGGGGCACTCCATCATGCCGTCAAAGTTGAATGTCCTCTCTACACCCTGGTGACTTCTGTCATCCCAGTCACTGAGCCTCCCCTGGAGAAAAAGCGAGTTTCGTGGACGCGCCTGGACAGCGGGACCGGATGAATGAGAGTAGATCGTCCATTTCAGATTGTAAGGCTTTGGGATCGTTCGCCCACCATCGAACTTGCAAGCTGGCCGCTAATGAGTCGGTGGTCACCAGACATAGCCCACAAGCTAGTCCCCGCTCTGGGAGTCGACTTCCATCTTGAAATGGTGCGGCTGGCTTGGGATCCGATCTTGTTCGCTACCTAGACTCGAAACCATTGCTCCCTCAACCTATCCCCGCAAAGACGATTCTTCATCAGTCACTGCAACTATCAAAAGATCCCTCTTGTTCAAAGCACCACCCCCCTTTCTGTCTTTGTAACACCGATACTTCACTTTCAAGTGAAGCCTTGCGGCGTTTCAAGCATTCCACCCGCCTTTCTAAACGGTCCACTTCGCTTTCCAAACGATCCTTACGTCTGTCTAAGCTGGCGTTTTCCTTTTTCAAATGAGTATTTTCCTGCTCTAGCTGTGTGGGTTCATGTTGAATCCACGCCAAGTTGCCGCGTAGCAGTTGGGATGGCTCTATTTTGCCATCCAGCATATGAGCCTTTTCCCGAGTTCTGTCAGTATCATCAGTGCCGATCGGGTCCGAGATGACCGGTAGTACTTCTGACGTCTCAGCTTCTTCGTAAATAATGCGCCCAAGACAGAGCGACGGTGTCTTGTGTGGGGTTTCCATCTCGTCGACCGGCTCCATCGCTCCGTTTCCGTTCACACTCTTTGTCTCAAGGTTTGAATTCGGCAACTCTGGCAATCGGTTTTGCGACATCTGCCGAAGCTTGCAATCGCGGCTTGGTGATGGCGCATGGCTTGAGGGATTCAACCTCTCGCCGGCAGGTCGCGAGCCCAGAGTACCAGAGCTGACGTCGAACGTCGTCGATAATCTAACATCGTCGTTCTTCATCTGCGTTAATATCTTTATTGCGCTGAGATCATCAGAATCGGTGGGGTTGTACCCATCATGGCCGGCGCTCTGTGGCTTTAGCAAGCTTCTGGGCTTGTCTTTCATATTCACGTGGTCCTGTACGTCTTCTGCCACCTCACGGGCACAGCGTTCGTACGAATCTAGAGATGTGAGCCTCGTGCGAGGTGCCTAAAACGTCACGCTCACGAACCTTGTTGTTTGAGACCATAGAAGAACGTAAAATCGGTAGATGCCATGACGTCGAAGCGTGCTTCCGTTGCCCGAGCGTCGAGACCTTCCTGTTGGGAGAATCGGGTGCCCCGTTCAGACACCTACGCAAACGATGGGTGATGCTGAAGCTGATTCGTGAGCCTGCCGTTCAGCCTGATGGCATGGTGGATTTTCAAGGGAAGGTTCCAAGGGGCCTTTTGGCACGACGACTCTCTTTATGTAGAGTCCCGAGATTGATACCAAAGCTGAAGAAAGCTGAATGCCGCCAGCAATACGATGATCGAGAACTACTCGGTATGCCAGGCCAATATAACTTGAATGCTGTGACAAAAACCTGGTAGTCACCAGCCATTCCACATCAACTACCTGTGAGGCTGCTTGGGACATGAGTACAAGCTCGGGGGTAACGAACGATCAAACCGTCAGCAGAGAGAGCAGCGTGGCCGGTGCGTGCACAGCGTCTCTCCTGCGTTGTGCACATCGCTCGAGAACTAGGAGTCCTTCACAAAATGCAACTTCGCTATTCGTCGTCTTTCGGGGACATCGTTCGCGCGTGTGTGGTGCTGTGATTGGCTGCCTGAATCCAACCTTGTACCCTCACGCAGGGTGGGCGCCTGCAGCCGCCGGAGAGCGTCGACCTTCCGACGGTCAAGGCATGCTCGCCCTTGATGGCTAGGGACGATTTTACGAACACCTCCAGATACCCACCCTCACGGACCTGACTGCCCAATGCAGACGAGGCACGCCCAGCCAAGTTGCTCATATCTCCGCATGGGGACCCCAGCGCGCTGGTACACGGCCAAGGGATGGCTTTCACACGACTCGAGGAGGTACACAGACGAGACTCTGTTGGCGAGATGGCGTCGGGTGTCCCATGCCCCTGCACCATGCGGCGACAAGGATGGAGAGAGCACACCCACAGGATCTCTCGCAGTGAATCGAAGAGCAGGGGTATGGGCACGCCTCCCCGGTCCGAATGCCTGCCAACCACGACATGGGTACATTACCCAGTAAAGGGGGGCGTGCCTGGCTTTCTTCCCGAGCAAGCATTGGCTATGTTCCCACGCCCCGCTAGATCTTCAGCCTCCGTGGATGGTGGGCAATGAGCGACCAATCACAATGGGCCCTGTGAACGGCCACAGCCCGTCGGTGGATGCGCCAATACGAACTCATACCCTGTTCAAATACCAGGCGCAAACAAAAAAACAATCTGACAGTTGCTTCTCGTTTTGACCGGTGTGGGCACTCAAGCACAGCGGTCAATGGAACGCATGTCCACGTCGACTGCTGCAGCCTCGTCGCCACAGGGCAGCTGCGCTTGAAAAGTTGGCCCTTCGTCCGGGTACCTGCGGTTCGCAAAGATACACCCTGTAGCGCAATGACTCGGCTACATTAAATGGTCTCGCTGGGCGTTTGGTCACAGTCCTGAACCCACTTCAGCTGCAGGTGTCTTGATCGCCTCCTTCGAGCAGAGTTACCGTTGAGTCTGCAAAATTGTGTTACGGAAGCGCCGCCTCTGGTAGAAGCTGGGATTCTCCTCCAGCGGCCAGGACGACAGCACGTCGAGGTGTCGCTGCGCATCGCAATAACCCATCGTCAGTGCCGTCGTTGACTCGCCTTCACTGTAGTCAAAACAGGCGTAGCCGTTGTTGGTGGACCCAATCATCAGACGACTGGTAGCCACTACAAAGTACACGCTAACCTTATCGAACGTGGCAGACAGGCCAATGCGGCCGTGTCAGAGCGTCCGCTTGCTGCAGCCCTTCGACTAGGGTGCTGCACACGGATCCAGATCCGTTCATCCCGTGGCGTTCCACCAGGGAGCGGGTGTCTGTATAGTGTACATGCACCATGCTCGGTGATGCAGAGGACGTCAGCGGCCGCCACGTCTGGGCTAACCAGCGCACGCCCCTACCCCGGCGCTGTCTGCGAACGACGCATAATGGAGGGCAAGTAGCACACGCCCCAATCGCCCTCGCCTAACGCCCCTTCACCCAGACGCAGGGACCAGGTTCCGGCCGCGGCGCTGGCCCGGCTTCCGCACCACCGGCGTGGGGCCGTCTAACCCCGCCGCGCCAGGAAAGTCCTGGGACGTCATGCTCACCGGAGTGTGGTCGCGCGCCGAAAGCGCAGGCCATCACTCCGCAGGTCCCCGCCGTATCTCTTGGTGCTGTCTTTTGTACGAGCCCGTCACTGGTATTAGTATTCGAGCGTACGGCCTTCACGATGTAATGTGCAGTGTATCGAATAGTAAACGCTCCTTCCTTTGATGCCATGTCTGCCCTCCCCTACAGCACTCAGGCGGGAACCTGGCAAAAGCGCCTTGAAGGTACGAGTGATTTCTCTGTCCCGCGCCGCCGGGTCTGAACAGCGAATAGATACCTGCCAGGAGGCCAACATCATGCCACCTGTGTTCCAAATCGTCTCCGATCGGCGAGGTGAGCATACGCTGCTGGCTATTTGAGCGGTACTGACTCTTTCGCAGGAGGACGCACGGCTTTGTCTAGCCGGGTGA